GCGCTTTAATCGAGTTCCCCCTGGGCTCGGGACGAATGCATCTCGGCTTGCCGGGTTGGCTGGCTTGGCTCGCCGAGACCGGTCTGCTCGTCGACGCAGACGACCCCCGGCAGCGGCCATCGCCTCCGGACTCGGGCCTGGCCTCGAGCGCCGATAGGCCCGTCGGCGCGATCGTGTCTGCCGAGTCCGGCGAGGCCAGACTCGAGTACGAGGTGGCGCCGAACTCGGGCCGCTGGGCCAGCCTCGAGCATTTGCTCGCCTCGCTCGACCATTTGCACCAACAACAGCACCGCCTTCGTCTCCAGCATCAGCAGGTGATGCCGGTTTCACAGACATTGCCGCTTCACGCACTGGCCAATCACAGTCGTCCTCTCTCTCCGGGCTCCCTCTCGCATCAGCCACAACGACACCAGCAACAGCTCCTCTTCTGTCCGCCCACCCTCCAGGCCCAGTTTCGACAGCAAAGGCCGGCCATTCTGCCGGTCTTCTCGCCGGCCCCAGTGACTGGCGCGAGGAGTGGAGACCACAACGGACCAATCGGCCTCGGCGAAGAATGGCCCTTGACGACGCCGTCGACCTCGTTGCCAATGGCCGCTGAGACGGCCTGGCCGGTGGGCGAACGTCTGCTCGGCCAGTCGGCGGATGGGCGCAGTCCGTTCGGGTGTGGATCCCTTTTCGTGACACCGCGAAAGCGGCGCGCTCTCTTCTGCAGCCTCGCGGCCGAAACTATCACCTCCGCGTCCTCCACCTCGTCCACTTCCGCCCTCACCTCCACTCCCACTCCGACCTCCGCCTCATCCAGCCTCGACCCCTCGGCCATTCGGGCTGCCAAGGAGGCGCGAACGGACGCGACCACGACGACGGCGCCACCGCCTCAACCGCAGACGACCCTGGGCCCGTGGTTGGGGGTGCACTGCAGCCTCTGCGTCCGGCGTCTCGAAGGCTCCCACTTTGTCCAATGTCCGGCGGTCGCGAAGCACCGCTTCTGCTTCGACTGCGCTCGGGCCTATCTGCTGCGCGAACTGCGACTGGCCACATGCGCCAAATCGCCGTCGACGGTGCAAATGAACGCCAACGCCAACGCCAATGTCGACGCTGAGGCTAACGGCGATTCCGACGTCGACGCCGATGGGGATGGTGAAGAGGGCAGCGCATGGGCCGCGGAGGAGGTGAAGAGCGACGGCGATGGCCAGACCGAGGCGGGTGTGATCACCACTTCAGGCGGAGAGAACGTGTCTTCAGGAAGACCGCACCAGCGAGGCTTGCCGCCATCCTCCTCTTCAGCCCCAGCAACAGCCCCACTCACGGCATCATCATCGCCGTCTCCGTCATCAGCGGCAGCAGCAAAGACAGTGTCGCCGGCTCCGGGCAACTCGTCTCGCCACGAGATCTTCTGCCCCAGTGGGCAACGCTGTGTGTTGCCCGGCTCTCGGGCGCCGTGGGCCTTCATCTCGGCCGAGATCACCGCCATCCTCGGTCGCCCGGTCGGCGCGGAGCTGGTCGGCCGAGCCGGACTCTCTGCTGCCGCCTCATTGAAGGAGCGCAGGTGCGATCCCCGACCGGACTCAAGCCAAGAGGCCGAAGCGGAACCGGCCCGAGAGTCGGCCCAGCAGAAGGAGGATCTGGACGGCCGGGACTTGAGCCCGGGACTCGTCAGGCTGACTGGTCGTCCGGGCGACATTGAGGTCGACTTGGGCCGTCGAATCGGCGGCCCCGGGACACGACCGGCCGCTGTCGACGCCGCGAAGACAGCCCATCCTCGGCTGGCCAATCAGTCGCCCAGGCCAGACGACTCGGGAGGACCAAGCTCACCCACCGACTGGAAGACGCCCGTCTCGATGGCGGCCTCGCAATCACTCGCTAAGTTGGCGGCGACTTTAGGCGCTGGTCGACCGGCCGCAGCTTTCGCCAGCCTCGGCCTTGGACTCGGCCTGGGTCTGGGCAAGACGGAGCGGTTCAGTGTACAACCCTGCTTGCTTTCGCCTTGACTACGAGCAGATCCTACAGTCAAATAATGGCCTAGAGACATGCTACAGAATGTGCACATATCAACGGAACAGAAGCCACCTTCAGTCCTGCCCACACGCACACAGATATACACACACATATGCGCACATACTTCCACACTCGAACACGAGCAGAAATAGGCAGGCTGGCAAGAGGGCGGGAAAACACGAGCCTCTTTATTTATATGCATCCGAGATATTCCCTTTTTCTGCACCTCTTCCCTTGATGGATTACTGTGGTGCCGAACAGATTTGATTCTAAAAAAAGCACCAATTTCGTGCCAGAATTTTTATGTGCCTGCTTTATTTGGGTATATACAGCTTACAAGGAGGGTGCCATTGTACCGTTCAATTAACATGACAGGTTGGAAGGAAGGGATTACAACTTCACGATAGAAAGTGTAACTAAATTCTAAACCGACAGAGAGCGGTGCAAGAAGTTTTATTGAATCCTCATTCATTACTACCAATTTGTGAAGATGGGATCAAACCAAAAGAGGGGCTTTTGGTGAAGCTAATATACGATTTTCAGTTTATAGTTAGATTTCAAGAAAACCCCTGTCTAATAAAAGAGCTGTACTCACCTTATTTCATTTTAGGTGATAAGGCATTGATGGTTGAATTTTTCCACAATGTAAACAAAGAAAAAACGGGATTCGGTAAATATTCTGGTATAGCCCCGTTGTGGAGACTTTCATTTCGTATGAAAGAACCTGATGAAGAGATTCGTAGGTTGATCTCACCAAAAGACGAAAGTTGGTTTGAGTTGCACTTCTAAAAAAGCACCAATTCAAACTATACGTTTTAATACGACGTTCAGTTCACGAGACATTCTCCTTCGTTTCTGGTGAATACGGGGCTAACTTGAGATGTCTGCAAGATTGAGTTCCAGCTCTGATGATTTTTTTCATGAGACTAACGAAATTCCCGCCCATTCTCACCCGAACCAAGAGATTGTGTCTCGTCGACTGCGCCAAACTAAACGCATTATTAAAATCAAACGACAAATTCTATATCAAATATAACTTTGCCTCGTTGACAATCCCGACACAGAAATATAATATGGGAAAGGCCTGGACTCCCTTTATATTTTCTTTCCCCGTTGACCAAAGGGGACTTGTAGCATTTGGGCGAAGTGATTAACGTCTCGAGGCTATTGGCTGCACTGCCACAAGCCGAGTTCGAGTTTCGCTGGGTGTGCTGATGAGAAGAGCTCAGGCGAGGTCGACTCTGCCGTCCATTCCAGTCGGGCTGAAACTATCTGTCAGGAAGAAAGGTTGTGCAAAATTCAGGCCCATTCATATGAATGTGGGAAAATTCAATTACCAATCATTCCTCCCCTCAAGCGAAATTGGGTGAATAGAGCACTTTACGAGTGCCTACCACCTGACCTTGCCGATGAAAGCAAGGGTCCAGCGACATAAAATTGTTAAGCGATTCTTGAAAACTGATCTCTTCAGTGCGGATTACAGAAAGGATGGCTGGTTGGTGGATGGAATCGTGATAGATAATTATGTACCACGCCCACGGTTCAACTTTGGAAATGATCATGCAGACAATGGAGCCCGGACTAGGTGCGTTCCTCTAAGTCTTCCTACCAATAGGACCATGTTGCGAAAACAAGGTCAAACAACCACTATACAACGAAAGGAGACTGCGACCACACAAAAGGCCACACCATCTTGGTCTTCATACCTACGATTGAATAAGTTGTTATTCAAGAATCAGTGACATTCCTGTAACCTACTGGAATCGAAAATATGAAGTTCCTACCTCGGATCATGTGACTGTGCCTGTCTCTGTATTGTATGCGCCTTCATGTGCTGTACAGAGACAGACACACTTACATGCTCCAAGGTTGATATGTGAGCGGAACTAACCAAATCTCATCAAAGAGCTCAGATATAGAGTATATATACAGCATTTTAGAGATAAACAGGTTAATTTTCTTGACTCGTTAGCCTCAATATGGTTGTACGGGTGATACTATGCTCTGATGATTTCCGTCATACGATGAATGTTTTCACCGTAATTGAAGGAGATTATCTCAGAAACGAAAATGTTCCAGTAAAACCAGTAAAGGAATCCGCCATCGTCTTCTGGCTGGATCAACATTCGAATCTCTTCACCAAACACTTTTACTCGAAATGGTTGTAACTTGACTAGATTAATCTATTCTCCTTTCACGATAGCAAGACTCAATTTGAGGTTCGTGACTGCTAGAAGCTGGCCGAGCCTGACTACAATAGTCGTTCAGGCTATTCTTGATCCTTTTCGATCTACGCTTCAGCCAAGCTGATCACATGAGCAGGCATCAGATGCTTGAAGCCAGGGTGAAGCACGATTCTTCCGGTTCAACATGCGATCAAGGCTGTCCGACAGACGGCAAATAGGGAGTACAATTCTGTGTGCATACGAGATAAACCAAAGCACCAGAGAAGAAGTTGAACAAGAGGGAGTTCGGCGCCCCTCAAAATCAGGAAGTATGAGTATCCAAAAGCATTTTGGGGGTGTACGTAAATCTATCGATGTGCGGGTTTCTTATGAGCACAACATGGAACGTGTCCAGAGTGGCTATTTTTCTGTGGCCTGGTGAATAACTGCATGCCTATAAGTATAAACACGACATAAATGCATGACAATATCGAGTCTTCTATGAGTGTTATGTTTCAGATTGAAATTCGACTGAATATCTCCGCCCTAAGCACTATCAGATGTCTGCTCTTTGGTTCAGTGCTCTCTCTTGTAGCATGGTAGTCGGCTCTGCCCTCTGCGTGGGATTCGAATCTACTCATTTCAACCCTGAGTCCTGTCACGTAAATAATGGGGGGACTAGTTATCCTAATTGTTAGAGAATTCACAAAGTTTTTAAGAATTTAATTATGTACTCTGGTATGGCGATGAGCCATTATAGTGCAAACGGCTACAAAATCTGAAATAAAGTGGGCACTGACTGGGTAGAGACACACAAGATTGAGGCATGGTCAGGGAATGAAGGGTCTGCATGCTTTGAGTGCTGTATCACTTCATAGAAAAGCAGGAGCAATGAATCTAGGGTAATGCTGTTAATTTTTTCGTAAATAAGTAGGTTTTCGAGACTACCAATAAATCAGATATATGAGTTGTGTTCATCCCATTTCGTTTAAGGTGATGAAGGACTAGTACTTGATTTTTCCCTCAATGATATGTTTAGAACTGACGTTTCCATTAAATTTAACATAGCATTGCTTTCCCAAAAGGCGCTCTTATCCAGGGTGGACTGCAGTTTCGACCTCACATAGGCCTTATCAATACCCCAAGCCGGAGTCGAACCTTGCCAGTGCTTTGTGTAAGCTCGAGACGTTAAACACTCCGCCACATTGCCAAGAGTGATCTTGGGTCACAGGGCAGATGTGAATTTCAAGGAATGACAGACGCTTTTCATATCACATCCTGTGTTGTGATTGTCGATGAAGCAAACTTATATTTGATATAGTAGTCGACGACATTACTTTTTTCGTAAGCGAGTAGGTCGAAATTGCAATCCACTCCAGGCTGGATGAGAACACCTTTTGGGAAGGAATAATTTATGAAATTAAATGGAAAACATCAGCTCTATTCATATCATTTTGTGAAAAATCAACTACCGGGTCTTTATCACATTAAATGAAATAGAGTTAACACAACTCATAATGCTATTAATTACATAAATTAGACGATCCTATGCCTTACGTAGTGCAGAGTATCTGTTAGTCTCCAGTTAATGATCTGTATAAGAATAGGGATACCGTATGGCATAGATACAAAGAAGGAGAACTTGGGTCGACCTAATTCGTTTAAGCTGCTGTAAGGACCATTAGGTGAGCTTAATATATATATATATAATTATCTATAATTATAGGTAATAGAAAGGATATTTTCAAATTTGGTGTTTTGTTAGCCCAATGCCAGTATAACTGGAGGCTGTTGGGACTTAATGTCCATTAGGTGCAAAAAGATATTATTTTTTGTATTTAAATACAGTTTTGAGACTACCAGTAACTTAAAAGATCATCACATATATGCAAGAGTTTACTGCAGGTTCAAATTCGCCTTGATCTCATGAACAACCTCAGTGGGACTCGAATCATGACAGTGCAGCGTATAATCTTGCCACGATAACCACTAGGCCACAATGCCACAAGCGGCCTGGAATCACATTCTGTGGTGTGATTGCAGATAAAGCAAAGTTATATTTGCTATTAACCTCGACTACATCACTTATTTTTCGTTTGTATAGGAAAGTTTTTGAGACTATCTGTAGATAATAAATATGAGGTGTATTCACTCTATTTCGTTTAAGGTGATAAGGGGATTGGTAATTTAATTCTCACACAATAATATGAGTATACCTTTAAAAGTCTGCCTTTAAAAATGAAAAATATGTAATATACTCTATTGCTATAGCAAATACAACTTTGCTTCATCGACAATTCCACCATAGAATGTGATATAGAAAAATGCCTCCCCTTCCTTAAAATTCACATCTGCCCTGTGACCCAAGGGCACTCGTGGCAGTTTGGTGTAACGGCTAACGTGTCGAGATTATACACTGCAGTATCATTGTTCGAGTCCCACTGGGGATGTTAATAAGACCTGTTGAAGCAAGGTCGAAACTGCAATCCTCTCAATTTTGGATGAGAATATCTTTTGAGAATCAAGGTTATATGAAATTCAATGGAAACGTATGGTCTACTCATATCATTGTGGGGTAATTCAACTACTAGTACCTTGATATTCTTAAACGGAATATTGTGAATATAGCTGATATGTATAATATAATGTTAGTCTCGAAAACCTGCTTATGAAAACGGAAAATCGAAGAGTTAAGCAGAGCAAGGTCAGACTTGTGACAAAAAATTAAAGTAATTGAGCCAAGTCATTGTCAATGCAACTGTGTATTTTTCCGACGGTGCGAAGGCCAAGATGGTGTAGCCTTTTGTATGGTCACGGCCTTCTTTCGT